TGTCATACAAATTGTCCTACAAATCATGTTAGCTGGCTATAGACAAGTCTTGAGGATCTTAAAAGAAACACACGTAAAACAGTGTATCCAGCCTACTGGCTCATTGGGGACAAGTTTAAGATACCTCTAGCGATCAGTTGGCACATGGTAGTTCCCATAGTCCTTGAAGAGACAAGCCAAATAGAAATTCACTCCTACTTTTAAAACTTATGTTAGCTAAAATCTTAATTCACAAATTAGCTATAATCTACAAGTAAAGTTAAATTCCATTTAAATGTGAAGTGGGAGAGGAGCGCTTACTTCAGGTAGCCAAGAGTAATATGACATTTACTTATCTAACTAGAAAATAAGAACTGAAATGGTTCAAAATAGCAGTAAGCATGGAGTTTAAGAACTTGAGTTCTTGAGGCAGACTATCTCATTTGAATCCCGGCCCCTTCCTAGCTGTGTGATTATAGACAAGTAACCTCTCTGTGTGTTTCCTCTTGCATACAATGTAATGGCAGGAGCGTCCATCTCACAGGATTGTTGTTGAGGATTGAGTTTATACTAAGAAAGTTTAGAAAGTGTTTAAGGCACAGTAGATGCTAAGACCTAGCTATTATTAATAGCACAATGATACATGAAAAAGAAAACTTTTTGAATACCAAAAACCTAAAGGATGACATGACAGGGCAGTGGTAAAAGCACACACTATGGAGCCAGACTGCCTAGGTTCTAATCCCAACTCTGCCATGGTATGATGCTGGGTGGTTTTAACTTCTGTGCCTCAGAATTTCTAATCTCAAAATGGGGACAATAACTGCACCTACTTCACTGGGTTGTTAAGATTAAATGAATTAATACAAGTGTTTCAAACATTTTTGACATATTGCAAAAACTTGACGCATAAGCTATTATTTTTTTAGGCTTGGTTCACATTATATTTTATGTAAAGTTCTCTTTAAACTTCCCCAAAACACATGCACTGTAGTTATTTTAATGAGAGTAGTAAAATTGTCTATGACTCCCAAACACCACCAATCAACTTTGAGTTCCCACTTTTGATTATTGTTGTTTAATAAATAGCCCTGTAAGACTATACTACCGCTTGTCCAAATAAATACAGCAAAAAACAAAGAATAAGGTTGTTTGATAAGGCTGCTCGGTCTAAGAAATATTCAAACAAGAAATAAGAACATAAGCTTTAGAAAAAAGCAAATTTAAAGGCTTGATCTGAAGAACTAAAAATAAAAATGGTTAGCTATTCCAACAATTAAGTATTTTATTAAGTGAGAAATACAGATGTATCTTAATATTTGGAATTTGAGGACTTCAGACAAGAATTCAAAATGAATAGGTACATGACAAGAAATATCAATACTAACATCAACTCGACCTCATATTTCTAGAACAGAGGTGCCTATAAAATAAAGAGCATCACCCATCAGTTGTCCACTTGGCTAAAATTGTTTGGATCTGGGATTTTTTTTGTTTTTTTAAGTTTCACTGCAATTCTGACAGTAACTGCTGAAAACCAAACCACATGCATATCACAACTTTTCTATAGATTAAATCAATAAAGTCCCAAGTATTGGAAAGTTTCATTATGTCAAATTTCTGTATTATACAAATCTTCAAAATATTTACAGCAGGAAGCAATCCAGGATTAAAAAGAATACTAGTCTAGAAAAATTCTTTAATAAGTTTCTGAAGATTAAAAGTGGTATTAAAATAATACTAATATTCTGTGTGCCAAGGGCCTATTCAAAGCCACACATTAACCTATTTAATCTTAAAAAATCTCAAAAAAACCCCCTCAAAATCTAAAATTTGTTTTGTTCACTGCTGCATCCCTCGTGTCTAAAACAGCGCCTGGTGCATACTAGAAATTCAACTACTTATTGTTCATATAAAATAAATATTCATTTTATAGACACTGATAACTTGTCCAGTCTAAGAATTCTAACTGGAGAATTTTTACTCCAAAATTCACTCTCTTAACCATTATATTGCCCCTCTAGAGTTTTTAAATCATTAAAGGTGTCACAGCAGCTGGTTATCACCTGTAAAAGAAAAAAAATCAATGAGACCTCCCTTTAAAGTGTTCTGTTCCACATGCATAAAAAGCTAAGGATTTGAAATTATTCCACATCTTACTGGCCTAAATTCCCATAAAAAGGTTTTGGTTTGTACTATATGTAATTTTCTTTATATTAACTATGCTGTAAAACATAACGATGCTTCTCCAATGTGTTTCTTCCTGGCCTTCAAAGTCGTCAAAGAAAGGGGTGTTTAAATAATCCTTTTTACTTTAAGTTCTAACTTCTAAAAAGTTTTACTTCCTCTCCTTTTCCATCTCTTCAAATATACAGATTTAAATTTATATTTCACATAAACCCACAACGACAATGCAATGGTCTAAAACAAAATCCAAGATTTCAGCATCAATATTTTGAGTAAAGATTTAAACTTTCATCTTTCATAAAAGACCAGTTTTGTCAAACACTAAAGTCACACGTATTAAATAAATGGAAAATTAAGCTGCCATCAGAGCTATTAAGTAAAGCCAAGTCCTTGCCACTCCTTCCATGTATAACTCTTTCAAAAAGTAACTTATCAAAACCAAAGATTCTAACCTACAACCTCCTCTGACTCCTAGTTTTAGTAAGGCTGAATTTATTCCATTACATTTTTTTCAAGTTAGCTGTAAATACTCCACCCTCCTCGATTGTGCAAGAACCAAACACACCACACATACACAAGTTACAAAAAAGGGGAAATATGGTCTGAGACTTTGAATATAGTTAAGTGTTGAGCAGGAGGTCTCAGAGCAGTGTACGACCTAGTATAAAAGTTAACATTTAACAACGAATATTATTTCATTATTATTACCAAAGGAGATGCCGGAAAGAGCCTGAACCAGTTAAAGCAGCCGCCATCTTAAAATGCGGGATAGAAGTTAGAGCAAGAAAATGAGACTAAACCACCGGAGGTGGAGGTTCCGCTCACCCCGACTCGAAAAATCCTCCCCCCCCCAACTTAGATCAATAGTTTAGTATCACACCTCGTTTTAAGTGGTGAAACAATCTTCCCGGAGGGTGTTATTAAATGGGCCGAAGCATAAATAGCTACACTCAACCACAGCTTACTGCCGTCGCACCCCCCTACCACCCCTCCCAGCCAAAAGAGAAAGGGAGCTTCCAGAAGGCTTTTACATCAGTTCCCGGTGTGCTTCTGACAAATAGCTTCGGGTGAAAAGCCTGAACCGGAGGAAGTGGCAACACCGTGTCAGCCCATCTCCTCCCAACCCCACTTATTCTTGTGTAACCCGCCCAGAGTGATGAAGAGTTTCTAACTAGCCTCATTCACTCCTCTTCCGCTGGCAAGAGACTTCCACCCCAACCCCCTAATCAAGTTCGGGACCCGCCGATTTCTGATCCTCTTTCTCTCCGCGGGGCTTCTTACCTTTCTTCCCCTTAGAAGGCCTAGAGCCTTCATCTTAGAACTAAATAAGTTTTCAGGCACCGAGAAGAGGAAACGCCATGACATCTACTGGTGCGTCTCTCCGCAATTCTGACCCCCAACAGAGGACTAACTCTTCCTTTAGAAGCAGAATCGAGGCGCCTGAAATCACTCTCCCCAATCCCGAATTTGCACCGATTCCACTGAAACATACTGAAGATAACACCCCATTTGCCACAAGTGTTCTGTTTCCTAGCTTTAAACCTCACAAACCTTCATAAACTATATCTGCGTCCCCATCCCCCAATGGAAGAAACGACGCAAGGAAGGATATTTTCATAATTATACTTCCTCCACCCCATGCTTCCTCCGGGCCTGAGCCTACCTCTCCTCCCACGACCCTGTCCTCTTCAACTCCATACGTTACCTTATTAATCCGTTTCAGCGCCATAGTCTGTGCTTCGCGTCTGGCTCCTCACTATCTCGGTGTGTGCTCAAAGGTCCGGCCAAAACTCTTGATTATCCCGGCGGGAGGGAAGGATTGTCTCTTCGTCTCACACCGCTCTGCCAGACACAGGCGCCTTTTGCAAAAACGGAGCAGATCAGCACTCGAACAGGCCCCGGAGAGACCCCGATGGATCCAGGTCCCTTAAAAACGGTCGCGATCCGGGGTGGGTAGGGTGGCGTGGCAACAGCCTCTATGCCGAGCTTCGGCCCGAAGAGGGGGCGAGAGTGACAGGAAGAGCGGAGGGTGGCTACAAGTTTGACTTCCCGGCCTCTCGAAAGGAAGAGACCCGGGTGGGAGAGGAAGAGGCGTAGGAGAAAGGGGTGGGTGCGGGGCAGGGTCCGGAGCCCAGCAGAGGAGGAGCCGGGGCCTAGTCGGCGCTATGCCGGCGTCACTAGGGCAAAGAAAGGCTAGGGGGAGGGGGAAACAGGAGGCTCCGGACTGACGCCGGGCTTCTTTCGGTTTCTACTCAAAGGTGCGGCCAGGAAGGGAAAGGAAATAAAGAGAGGCTTGATGTGTGGCGCTGTCCCCGCAGCTCAGAGCTATTCTGTGTCGCCCCTGACGCCACCGTACACTCCGCCTTCCAGCGCGCTCCCGCGCGCGCCCGCCCAGCCACCGCCACCACGCGCCCGTGCGGCCCGAGGCTCCGACTTAGGCGCGAGGACGCGCCCATTCCCCCTCCCCCTTAAGCAAAAGAGGCCCCGGCTTCTCCAGCCTTCCCACCCTACCCCACCCAACAGGCTGGTCACTCAAGCACCCAGGGCCCGTGTTTCCCCTCTTACCCGGCCGGCCCAGGGCCGCCCACCCTTCCCCTCCCCTAGCCGTCCACACCCACGCGTACTGAGGGGCCGGGGCCTCCCTCAAGCTGCGGCCTCGGCCTCCTCCCCGCGCGGCAGCTGGTGCCTCCCCGGCCCTACGGGGCTCACGCGCACGACACAGCTACAAGATGTCCGCTCTGACGGAACTACTGCCAGCTGCCACGCTCCGCCCCTCCCCCCTCCTCCTGCCTCTTCACCGCCGGGTATCAGTCCGCCAACGCCGCCGTCGCGAGCACGGAACGAATCTAAGGATGCGGAGGGACGGTTTACTTCCGAAGTCCAGGACTCAGTGTGTCTGTGCTACCCCCTTTTTCTTCTTTTCAGACCAGCACCTTCTTACTAAACAGATCGGAGGTTGGACAGGGAGGGCGGGGGCCGGAGGCGGGTCATGGGCTGGGGGGAAGGGTAGACGAGCGGCGGAAACCCTTAGACTCAGAGAAGCATCGAGAACCGGAAGGAGACCATGGGAGGAAGGTAATGGAAACGGCAGCTGCGCTGTCGAGCCCCGCGCCCCTCCCAACAGCATCCCCCAATTTCCTCACTTGGTGTTGAGGAGGCGGGTCTCGCGAGAACCTCGTGGCTGGCTTACAGGAGCTGTAGGTCTGCAATGACTTAAGGGCAGTTTTGTGCGCTCTTCCTGATGGGGGCCCGGCCCGCCCCCAAGTCCCCAAGTTCTCGCGAGATGCAAAGAGGCACCGGCTCGAGCTGGGGCGGGCGGTCAGTCGCTGGGGGAAGCACCGCCCATGAATGCTTCTGCGGGTGGGAGGGAGAGGAAATGGAATTCCCCGGACTGGGGGTAAGAGCGCGCGCCGACACATCCCTCTCTCACGCGCCCAATCAGGAATGTGCGGTGGGAGGTACCACGGGTTAATTACTAGATACCTTTAGTCCGGGTTGACGCGGGCTTTTGAAGTTTCCGGTGAAGCAGGTGAGTGATGTTTACGCTCCTGCCGGTCTGGGCTGGCTAACCAGTGGGAGGAGGCGCCCCTCAAAATGGGAACAGTCATTGAAAATAGAACCTAGCGGACAGCCGATCAGCGTTCCCACCTGCCGAATCTAGTGTATTTTTGACCCTCAAGGATCAATACTGAGAAGAGCGGGCCCACAGACCGGCTCCCAGAATTAGAGCAGTTTAGGCATCCACGTCCCCTGAATTGATTAGGATGGAGGATAGGGGGATAGGGACGGGCTGTTCACTGTTCTCTGTAATCAACCACCACCATCCGCCAAGGTTTAAGTATGGGAATGGACTTAATACCTTTTTCCTCCTGTTGCTATGTGTCCATTCCTAGAGCCACAACATTGCGAAACTCAAACAAGAAATCAGAAGTTTTGGGTCAGAAAAACTTAATACTTACCAAAACATCCAGGGAAAGAAATATAAGGATAGGATTAGCCTGTCAATCTGCCGGGTGTGGCGTATGGCGAGGATGATTTTGCTCCCGAGTGTTTCCTTCAGGCAAAGGTTAACAAGACATTAATTTTTCAAAGGAATTTAAAGGTCAGCAGTGACCTGCTTAAAGTTTTCTGACATTCCTTAATGACCCCAACTTAACGAAGTGGCGATCTCTAAGAATTAAATGGAAATACAAACTTGTTTTTAAAATACACTTTTAAAAAGGAAAGTGTTATTTCCTGTTATAAGAAATATTACCTAATTAAATTTTCATAGGTCTGTGATAAATGAGCTAATATACAGAGGGTGCCAAAAATATATATATACACGTTTTAAGAAAGGAAAATTATTAAAATTTTAATAATATATGCTGATAACAAAAGATAAGTTGCATTTGACTTTTGCAATTACAAAATGTGCTCAGAGCGGTTACCATCAGCGTCCAGACACTTTTGATTACAGCGAACTACTGCTTGAGCATCGTTGCTTGGTGTCCACTAGTATACATTTTTTTGGCACCTCCGGTATACAATTTGAGTGACCATAATAGTGTCACTAGAGCAATTACTGAAACAGTGCTTCTCAAACTAGTATCTATGCGAATCACCTAGGGATTTTGTTCAACATGCGGATTTTGATTTAGTCTGGGGTGGAGCCTAAGAGTCTACATTTCTAAGAAACTCCCAGGTGATACAGATTTTTCTGGTCAGAAGACCTGTGTGAAAGTAACAAAGCAGTGAAGTGCTCACCTCATGGCCTACAGGACACTTCTGCCTGCTCCCCCCTTCTCCCCCCATCTTTCCTTTGTTCTTTCTTTTAACCAGTCTAATATAGTAGAAACACAAGATTAGGCAGCTGGAGTGGAGGGAGAAATCCAGGTTTGATTTCTGGCTCTATTCCCATTTGTGTGATATGGTACTTCTTAGTTTCTTCACACTAAGCTAGGCACAATAATAGCTGTCCTTTCTCACATGGTTATTATGTGGATCAGATGTCATAATGTATGTGAGAGGTCACTGTAGAATAAAGTGCTGTATAAATGTAAGTTATTAATCAGACATTAACTGGCTATACTGTGGCACAAATCTGTAAGAATATTAATATAGGTAGTATTTGTGGTAAACACTTGTCATGCACCAGGGACTGTGCTTGTTAACCCCCTTTACAAATAAAGAAACTGATGCATGGAGAGATTAAATTACTATCCCAAGGTCACACAGCTAATAAATGGCAGAAATAGAATTTGAACCCATGCAATTAACTTCAGAGTATGTATTGAATGGAGTTTCATACTGTCTCTTACTTTAGAAAGTCGGATGCTTTGTGTTTCTACTTTCAATGCCATCTTAATCTAATTTTGACTCATTTCTTCTGATATATGTTTTGTTCTTTCAGAAGCCAAGGTTCAAGGGTGGTAGGAAACATTCCTACCTACCCAAAGGGAATTCACAATATCCAAGGGGCCCATAAAAGTCCTTGAGAAGCCAATTGGTATTACCCTAATTTAAATAAGCTTCAGTATGAAAGTATTAACATAATGGAATGTGTTAATGCTCTGAATTAACAGAGCATAGCATACTGGGACAGATTTTATGTCAGTGTTCTTAATTATTTTGGTGCCACAAACTACTTTGGCAGTCTGGTGAAGCCATGGACCCTTCTCAGAATAATGTTTTTAAATGTATAATGTAAAATTCATACCCATTATAAAAGAAAACATTTTGAAATAGTCTCAAAATATTAAAGAAAAACAAATTTTTGATATAGGAATAGATGTGATTTATTAACACAGTAAGATCAAATGAGTCTAGTAAACAAATTTTTGAAATCGTGATGAACATAAACATTTCTAGAGTTTGTGAAAGTTGTGATATAAAGTATCTATGATTCCTATTGGTGACAGAGACATAGGTACACCTGTTTGTTGCTTACATTCAAAACTGAAGGAAATGCTAATTTTTAGTTAGACATTAGTAAAAATAAAGATGTAATTTATTTCTTCACATCCAAGTTTACACACACCTGATTCATATCCATGAACTACATATTTAAAAAACCTTAGGTAGAGTCAAGTAGGCTTATTCCTGTTGGAAAGCCTTGAAAGGATTGTGAAATTTTAACATAGAATTGTAATTGATATTCATAGAAATAGTGATTCATCAAGAAAAAGTTTAATCACCACTAGTATACTCTCCTGAAAAGCATGGAAGTGTGTAATAGGTTTAGGAAATAGTTTTATCCCATTTGTTGATTTTTTTTTTGATGCCTATAAAGTTACCCTATGAAAAATTTACCTATCCAGAATGATTCATTTTCTGTGCATTCTGGATAACTTAGGTTTTACTATATCACTCTTATTTATTACACATCTTTACAAATAAGATGCGGTAGAAGAATTGCAAAATGAAAATAACCAAGGATGAAAGAAAATACTGTACATTTAAAAAGTCTTAAAAATAAGTGTTAATAATTATTATTTGAAGTACTATATGTTGGGTCCTTTAATTCATTATCTCATCAAATCCCCATACAGATGAAACACTCAAGGTCAGATAATTATTAAGTAGAGCTAGGATTTAAGACTAGGCAGCCTGTCCTCAAAACTCACACTCCTAGCCACTAAAGCTGTTTGATTATTTTTTAGCCCTTTGACTATTAGCCACATTAATTTGCTCACTAGTATAATTAATACATATACAAATACAACAACAAATACATATTAGCTGCCTCCAATATTTATGTATTCCTTAGTATTCCAAGTAAAATTCCATCCAGTTACTAAAAGGAATTTTCTAAATTCTCCCTTCGCAGAGGTATTGCTTTATGCAACACCACCTTTAAATAAGTGGGCTACCAGTTGGGGCTGGAAAATTGTTTCACAGAAGGTTTTACTGTAATGGAGTTTTGCTTAGAAGATGAAGAAATCCACTCTTGACCTTCCCTGCCCTTCAAAAGCATGCATCTGAAATTAAACTTTTGTTTTATAATGGTGCCACCATATTTTTTATATTGATCACTATCAAGATTGTATACAACAAATGATGACATGAACAAATCCTAACACATGAAGTTCTAGGTTATCCATGCTTAATGGAGACAAGTGATGGTGTAATCCCAAATTTATTTTTGTTGGCACTGAAGTGAATTCATTGGTTGATTATGCTGTTTGTTTGTATTTACACTAGCAAACTTAACATTTCTACTCAGTTTTGCTAAGGTTAAAACTGAGCATGGCTTTGGAAACATTTTGATGCTTAAGGAGGTAGCCTAGTATTCGCTCAAACTTTAAAATACTATTTGCATTTGTAGTGTTATAGAGAGCCCACTTCATAATTTCAAATAAAGCTGACTTTAACACTTGACCTATTTGACTAATACTGGTATTGAAATGTCTCCATCTGAAAAAAGAAAGGAAAATAACCATTTAAAAAAATATTTCTAATTATGGTAGATCAGATTTTCTTACATGAATTGGCATAAACCTTGAGAAATATATAAAGGATCAAGAAAATTAGTATAAAAGTGGCAGTGATAAAACTAATCGAAATAATGAAGGTGTGCCAAAGTCTTAATATTATGTGAATGCATCAGTGAAGCCACATTATTATAATAACTTGAGTACAAGGATTAATAATGATATATTTGTGAATATAGTTAACATGGAGATTAGTACATATATTTATTAACATTTAATATTGCATCTAGGTTTTCAGATCTTTTTAACTTTCTCATAGAATTTTATAACTTGCTAAGGACACTGGCTCTAACATAGTGTATGCCATTTTATTAGTTGAATTGTAAATGCTATGGTCCAGATTTTATAGCCAGAATGCATGTTTACATATTCTGCTTGGAATAGGTAATTTAGAGCCCAAGTCACTGAAATGTTATTTCATATGGTCTGCATAAAAATTAAACGAGTTTCTGTATCTTACCAGTTCAGAATCTCATTTTTATGATCAAGACAAGGTAATGTGGTTTAGGAAACTTTCATGCTAAGCACATCAATTATCCTTACAGTAAGATGGGTTTTGGCACATAATGAACCATGCAAAACTGTTTGAGCTAAAAATAAATT